AATAAAAATAAACAAATTACTCAATGTTCAGATATTTAAAATGAAACATGAAGCAATAGAATACTTAAACTTTTAAACTTTATAGGGGATTTGCTTGTGCTAATAAAAAACTGCCTGGTGAATTGGCTAATTAGGATTCCTGAGTCTTAGTAAAAAATGCAATTGGAAAAATAATAAAAATAGAAAAAAATTAACTGAAAAGAGGTGTAACCCCCTTCTCAAAATACTTCAATTGGTACACCGCAAAAAATAGGCCAATTCGGCAGCTTTTTTTTCAATTTCTACCGGGGTGAAATTCTCATTAGTACGAGTCAAAGGAATAGCCCCTCTGGCCTCGGATGTCCATATAAAGGGACACGACGAGGATAAATCCCTTCTTTCATTTCTATTCGAATAGACCTTATATCTTTTATATTGAATCGGAGGAAAATGCGACGATTTATTCCAGGGAATCCCCAACGAAAAATAAAAAATATTCCCCTTTTTCTATCGAATTGATCATAACCACTACCGACATTCCATAAAATAGTACACCACAAATACGAGCTAAATACAAAGACCCGCAATTCCGTAGAATGCCATGACTATTCCTTGTGGGAAAAAAAGAATTTGCTGGGCTGGAAAAAATGATATCCAATTTATACCAAGATAACTGGAAGTTCCTACTAATAAGAATCCCAATGAACCTAAAAAAAAGGATAAAAGCCCAACCAAAATTACTTATTTTTCTAGACCCAGGTTTAAGTTCGATCCATATATTTTCTGATTGCCAACTCATATTACATCCGATTTTATTTTATTGGAATTAAGAAGAAAACCATTCATTTGGAACTTTGCTATTTAAAAAAGTAATTCTCATCAAACAAATAATAGTTTGATGAGAACTAGCACTAGTTTGATGTAAACCTTTAGGGGTAATTCATCAACTTGGTTAGATCTAAAATAATAACGCCTTAAGTAAATACGATTTCACAGCTCTTCCTGTTATGATACAACAAAAGGGCAACTTACAAAAAAAGGGAGGACCTCACTATATAAAATATCTAAAAACTATTAGTTTTCTTGAACAGTAATAAATAAATAAAACGTTGCAATTGCCGGCAATACTAAGCCTACTAATGGTATAAAAATAGAGGGAAAGTCACTCATATAAAAGTTATCTTTTTTTACTCTACTATATTGTATCTGTGAGTTTTTCTCTAACTATTTTTATCAATCTAAAATCAATATAAAATAAAGTTCAAATTCATTTGAAACTCTGAGTGAAAGAAAGTGCCCCGGTCATGAAACGTAAATAACTCACTAATAACGCTTTTTAGAAGATGACGTGGTACAATTAAGTCAAATGAACCCTTCTCAAATAAAAATTCAGCTTCTTGTGCCTCATCAGGTATGGTTTGTTTTAATGTTTCTTCAATTACTCTTTTGCCTGCAAATGCAATGTAAGCATTAGGTTCGACAATGATAATATCCCCTAACATACCGAAACTCGCTGTTATTCCACCAGTTGTAGGAGATGTAAGGATTGATATATAAAATAATCTTTTATTTGATTGATAATTATATAAAGCAGATGATATTTTAGCCATTTGCATCAAACTTAAACTTCCTTCTTGCATTCGCGCACCTCCGGAAGCCGACACTATAATCAGAGGTAAAAAGTTTTTTGTAGCGTACTCAATTAAACGGGTTATTTTCTCTCCGACTACGGATCCCATACTACCCCCCATAAACTTAAAATCCATAACACCTATTGCTACAGTAATACCGTTGATTTGCCCTAGACCTGTTTGAACAGCTTCGGTTAAGCCTGTTTTTATTTGATAAAAATCAAGATTCTCTTCATAAGAGTTTTCTTTCCATGGAATATTAAATGGAATCGGGTTCTCAGAAAGAATTTCTTCAGAAGAGTCTTCTTTCACTTCTTTCAATGGAATATCAAACGGAATCGGGTCCTCAGAAATCCTTTCTTTAGAAGAGTCTTCTTTCAATAGAATTCCACATTGAATGAGGCACTCAGAAATCATTTCTTTAGAAGAGTCTTCTTTTATTTTGTCCAATATAATTCCACATTGAAGGAGGCACTCAGAAATCATTTGTTTAGAAGAGTCTTCATCAAATGGAATATCAAATTGAATCGGATCCCCAGAAAGAATTTCTTCATCGATAGGAACCCACGTTTTCTCATCGATCAAAAAAATCAATTCTATCTGAACTACTCAGTTGCAAATAATCTCCACATTCTTCACAAATATAATGTTTTGATTTAATGAATTTTTTATAATATATTTGATAACAATTATCACATAGAATCCACAAATGGTTAAATTCAGGATATTTTATCCCAATTTCCTCTACGTTAATTTGTCTACTCGAACTCTCGACTTCGCTCCTATTGCAGCTTTCACCATAAACAATGGACTCATTACTGGAACTGTCAGTAACACTCTCATTTTCATTATTAGTGATAGTAGTTGGATCTATTTGTAACTTCATAGAATTATAAATGGACTCAGCAATATCAATCTGAGAGTTATATTCGTTACTCACTTCATTCATTTGAGTGGGATTGCTTGAATTCGAATAAAGATAAAAAAGGTTCACTAAAGAAAGAGTGAGCATTATTTGTTTCAAAAATATAATTTTCAATATTAAAAATATTAAAATAGATGCAATAATTATTTCCAGTACTATCGCTAACTAGAAAAGTGTCATCAAAGATGACACTTTCACTATAGTTTAACTCGAAGACAGAATCAACATTACTGCAACTGGAATTGTCACGATCCTCCCAAGTCTGAATGTTTTCAAAACATCTCTTGCTTCTTCGTATCTTCATTTTGCCTGCTATTTTCTTCAATAGGACGGTTAACACCATCCATTGATTTAGTTAGGTCCGATCCACGTTCAAATTTCTTATCCAATGAATTATCCCCCCCACATTTCCATAATTATTGCCCCTTGTTTTTTGCATGAAAATACAATAGAAAATACACAATAGCAATAGATGGAATAGTCGTTTTATATAACTCTACCTCAATTACCAAGTTTAACTATTTGTTCTCGTCTACCTATACCCAAACCAAATCTAAATAATAAGCTCATTAATATGGATAGATATCCGACGGCTCAATCTGTTTACTTTTTTTAGTATTTGAATGATTTTAGTAAAAGATTGGGCCAAATTGAATTGCAATTCAGAAGAGAAGGGGGTTAGTGATTGCTTAAATTCCCTCTACCCATCCCTTATCTCCGAATTAAGTTATAAGTTATCTCTATTTATCTCCTGCAAGAGCCTCCTTATTATCTCTTTCTTTCTTCTCATTTGGATCCAAGGTATCCACTGGTTTAAAGTCAAATTGAATCTCCTTCCATACCTCACAAGCAGCAGCTAGTTCAGGGCTCCATTTACTAGCCTGTCGAAGAATTTCATTACCTTCCTGAGCAAGATCATGCCCTTCGTTACGAGCTTGTACACATGCTTCTAGAGCGACTCGATTCGCTACGGCACCAGGCGCATTACCCCAAGGGTGACCTAAAGTTCCTCCCCCAAACTGTAGTACGGAATCATCCCCAAATATCTCAGTTAGAGCAGGCATATGCCAAACGTGAATACCCCCAGAAGCCACAGGCATAACACCGGGTAAAGAAACCCAATCTTGAGTGAAATAAATACCACGACTTCGGTCTTGTTCAACAAAATCATCGCGTAATAAGTCAACAAAGCCCAAAGTCATCTCTCTTTCCCCTTCTAGTTTACCTACTACAGTACCCGCGTGAATATGATCTCCACCGGATAGCCGTAACGCTTTCGCTAGTACGCGGAAGTGTATACCATGAGTTTTTTGTCTATCAATAACTGCATGCATTGCACGGTGGATGTGAAGAAGGAGACCATTATCACGGCAATAATGAGCCAAAGAAGTATTTGCAGTGAATCCCCCTGTTAAGTAGTCATGCATTATAATAGGAACTCCCAATTCTTTAGCAAAGAAAGCTCTTTTTAGCATTTCTTCGCATGTACCTGCAGTAACATTCAAGTAATGTCCTTTTATTTCACCTGTTTCAGCCTGTGATTTATAAATTGCTTCGGCACAAAATAAAAAACGGTCTCTCCAACGCATAAAGGGTTGTGAGTTTACATTCTCATCATCTTTGGTAAAATCAAGTCCACCACGAAGACATTCATAAACCGCTCGACCGTAGTTTTTAGCGGATAACCCCAATTTGGGTTTAATAGTACATCCCAGCAGAGGACGCCCATACTTGTTCAATTTATCTCTCTCAACTTGGATGCCGTGAGGCGGACCTTGAAAAGTTTTAGTATAAGCTGGAGGTATTCTAAGATCTTCGAGACGTAAAGCGCGGAGTGCTTTAAACCCAAATACATTACCTACAATCGAAGTAAACATATTCGTAACAGAACCTTCTTCAAAAAGGTCTAAAGGGTAAGCTACATAAGCAATATATTGATCTTTTTCTCCAATAACACGCTCAATGCGATAGCATCGGCCCTTGTACCGATCAAGGCTGGTAAGTCCATCGGTCCACACGGTTGTCCATGTTCCAGTAGAAGATTCCGCAGCTACCGCGGCCCCCGCTTCTTCAGGGGGAACTCCGGGCTGAGGAGTGACTCGAAATGCTGCCAAGATATCAGTATCTTTGGTTTCGTAATGAGGAGTATAATAAGTCAATTTGTAATCTTTCACACCGGCTTTGAATCCAACACGTGCTTTAGTCTCTGTTTGTGGTGACATATATTCCTCCTTATAACTCATAAATTCATAATTCTGACAACAAAACGATCTACTCGACCTAAATTATGCGTGAATTTTGCTTTTGGTCGGAATCGTTCACAAAATTCCCCCCGAGTACTCAATATTATCTATTATCAACTAAATCCTAATTTTTTATTTTTAAACTAAAAGCATTTGAGTCATTTTTCAAATGCATCAATATTGTATACTCTTTTGTATATCTAGTGCAACCCAGTTTTTCAATTTCACTTTTTTTACACTACCTCTCTAACTTAATAAAAAAATTAAAAAAACTAATGGGATAGAAATAAAAAATTCTAATGAAATACTTTCCCAATATTTTTATTCCTCCACTTTAAAATGATTTACCTATTTTAGTTCCTTCATTCGACAAAAATTAAATTGATTGGATACTGGATAATATCTGGATAATATAAAAAAAGACAGCGAGAATCCCCCCTTTTTTCTTATTACATTTATTGAATTAATCTTGCGCTTGCGGACAGTTATTTGTAATTTGAAAAGTTTTGTAAATTTTTTTTTTATGGGAAGCACTCCTACGACTTATGGTTCTGAGGTTTCCTCAATTGAAAAAAAAAATATAGGACATATCGTCCAAATAATTGGTCCGGTACTAGATGTAGCTTTTCGCCCTGGCAAGATGCCTTATATTTATAATGCTCTAGTAGTTCAAGGGCAAGCCAGTAAACAAATGAACGTGACTTGTGAGGTTCAGCAATTATTGGGAAATAATCGAGTTCGAGCTGTAGCTATGAGTGATACAGATGGTCTAATGAGAGGGATGGAAGTGATTGATACGGGAGCTCCTATAAGTGTCCCGGTCGGTGGATCAACTCTGGGACGAATTTTCAACGTGCTCGGAGAACCTGTTGATAATTTAGGGCCTGTCGATACTAATAAAAAATCTCCTATTCATAGATCTGCGCCCGCCTTTATACAGTTAGATACAAAATTATCGATTTTTGAAACAGGAATTAAAGTAGTAGATCTTTTAGCCCCCTATCGCTGTGGAGGAAAAATCGGACTATTCGGGGGAGCTGGAGTGGGGAAAACAGTACTCATTATGGAATTAATTAACAATATTGCCAAAGCGCACGGAGGAGTATCCGTATTTGGCGGAGTGGGTGAACGTACTCGCGAAGGAAATGATCTTTATGTGGAAATGAAAGAATCCGGAGTAATTAATGACCAAAATATTGCAGAATCAAAAGTGGCCCTAGTTTACGGTCAGATGAATGAACCACCAGGAGCTCGTATGAGAGTTGGTTTGACTGCCCTAACTATGGCGGAATATTTCCGAGATGTTAATGGGCAAGATGTACTTCTATTTATTGATAATATATTTCGTTTCGTTCAAGCGGGATCAGAAGTATCCGCCTTACTGGGTAGAATGCCTTCTGCTGTAGGTTATCAACCGACCTTGAGTACAGAAATGGGTTCTTTGCAAGAAAGAATTACTTCCACCAAAGAGGGTTCCATAACCTCGATACAAGCAGTTTATGTACCTGCAGATGATTTGACTGATCCTGCCCCTGCTACGACATTTGCACATTTAGATGCAACTACCGTACTCTCAAGAGGTTTAGCTGCTAAAGGTATCTATCCAGCAGTTGATCCTTTAGATTCAACGTCAATGATGCTGCAACCTCGGATCGTTGGTGAGGAACATTATGAAACTGCGCAACGAGTCAAGCAAACTTTACAACGTTATAAAGAACTTCAGGACATTATAGCTATTCTTGGGCTCGACGAATTATCCGAAGAAGATCGTTTAAACGTGGCAAGAGCGCGAAAAATTGAGCGTTTCTTATCACAACCTTTTTTCGTAGCAGAAATATTTACCGGTTCTCCAGGTAAATATGTAGGTCTCGCTGAAACAATTAGAGGATTTCTTT